ACCAATGATACGAAAAGTAGGCATCGCCATTATTATTAGTTTCCAATTTATTTTTTGATCTCCTAGTTCTTGGATTTTTTTTTCAAGTTTCAGTATTTTTAAAACCAAATTAACTTTTATTGATGTAATTATTATTAAATTTTAACCTACAAATTTCTTTTATCTTTTAGCTATCAATAAATCTTTACCTTATATTAAGAACAAATACTGAGCTTAAATTTATAATGATAGTGGCTTACATAGGGTATATTAATTTATTTTATTTTATTTTTGTTTAAACCCTCTACTTCTTTTTTGTTCTAAAATATTTCTTCTACTTTCAAACATTTTCAAATAAACTCATATTTTTTTTTTTCATCAAGTCAACAACCGCATGACAGATAAAGGATAGACGCGAAAAAAAGTTCTTTTGACATGCAGAGATGACTCGTATGTCTTTCTATTTGTATCTGTGTGTCTGTGAGCATCAGCATTAACATAAAAATTATTTTAAACTCAGTGCATTTTACGATCAATCATTAAATAGATTTTGACTTTGTTGATTGTGAAGAATAAGTAGTAATTTACTATTTTAAAAGTTATTTTTCTAAATTATTTATATGCAAACATATTATATGTATAATTTTTAGGGTAGGGTGTTGATTTTGTAAATGATTTGAAAAAAATTTTAATTATAAAATTTAAATTTTTTTATTAATTTACAATTGATTGTACTCTTTTTTTTTTTTTTTTCTTTTTTAATTTCCCAACTCAAAAGTACATATAAGTCATAAAACCCCAACTGTGGCACTCTTGGTTAAATTAGTAGTTTTGATTATATAATTTAATTTAATTACCAACTCTTTGGTTTGTAACATCAGATCCAACGGTTGTAAATGAATCGATACAAGAAAAGGTATATATATGTAATTAATGAGACACCAAAAACCCTAATTAAAAACTGGCAGTAGTTGTTAGAGGTGATAAGAATCTTTAATTTTAAAACCCAGCTTTTACTACAAGGTCAACAACTTATTCAATGCCATGCAGCTGGATCATGTGAAATTAAATTTCTCAAACCCACACAGACAGTTCATTCATTACATATAAATACATACACATATATTTACACATATATATATATATATATACACAAACACATACCCAAAACAACATTTTGCTTTTAATGCATCTTAATATTATCTTCCAAAACCCTAAGGCCACTATATACATATATGTATTTTTCTTGTGGGAAAAAGGGTACCATCTTTATCTTATATTAGATCATTATATAATATTACAAGTCTTATCTCATTGATTAAAATTAATCCAATGTGGATTAATTTTAATCAATAATTAACCAAATCCACGCCGCTCTCTATACTATTATTCTACTGGGTATGAAACTGACTTTAACTCACTTGACAGTTGTTCCTGGGTATGCGTTGCCATTTTCAATTAATAATGGAATCCACACAAAATATTGTTCTTTTTTTAGAAAATAATTATAAGGGGTATATATATATATATATATGTGTAATACCTGCTTCCGGAATGTAGGTCTGGAATAATCAATTTTAATAATGAATAAATTAGAAAAAAAATTATTTTCCAACTTTTAATTGAAATTTTGAAGAAACTTAGATTTTTGGTGTATATAAAAATATTTTTAAAAATCAGAATTAAAGTAGAAATAAGAGAAAATTTATTTGAAAAATTATTTAAAAAATTGGAATAAAAGTAAAAATAATAAAAATTTGACCACATGGACCTCCATGTTAGCAGCGCAGTCGATCGTCATGCGCTGCGAGGCAGACATGCAGACACGTGTCCATGCAGAAAACCACGCAGTTGATCCACGTGTCAACGGATCCAACGACTCATATCTCCTCCCGCGCGCACGGACGACCCAGATTCGTTTCCTCTTTAGACACAATCGAACGATCAAATTTAATCCAATCGTGCGATCTAGATTTGTTTCCCAAATAAGAGTGATCCGATGGGTGGGAGTGGGCCACGTGTCCCTGCACGGACGACCTAGATCGACGCAGAGAGGGTATTAAACATCCTTTCCCAGAAAATCCTAACTCTAACCGCACCTGACCCCCCTGAGAAGAAGAAGAAGGGCGGCCGGAAGGAAAGTCGACCACAGTCGCCACTACATCGGAGTTACCACCAACACTGGGAAGGTAAGTTTTTTCCCCCTTTCGCTTCAAAATTCAATTATAAGCATCTCCGCACCCATATCGGCACCGAAAAGTCAAAAGAAAAGTCAAATATCGGGAGTGGAGCTCGACCAAGCGTCTGCATCCGCAACCCAAAACTACTATAGTGAGCCCGATCCGTTTCCCGTTTCCTTCTACTTTTCCAACCGTTGTGTCCCTAACCCTTTTCTGGTGCAGATCGACTAAAGAGAATCCCGATTGCGAGAGAGGAATGACAGAGCTGCCACACTGAAAAACTCCCCCCGGCCAGACAGAGAGGAGACGTTGCCATAAGCACCGAAGCCGGCGTCGCCGTGCCAGAACCTTAAACCGATCAAAAAATTTAAAAACCCTTATTTTCAGTCTTGTTGAGGTATTTTAAAATATGTGACGTGTACTTTTTGGTTTTTGTAGAAAAAAAATTCAAGAAATTCGAAAACCGCCAGGAGGTGCAGTGAAAAATGCGGTGTTTTGAACACCAACCCGGAACAAGAATCTCTCACTCTTTCTCCCATTATAGTTAATTAAAGTTTAATAAATAATAAACGGTAAAATTTATAAATATTGGCAAACCCTAATTAATTAAATATAGATCACCAATGGAGCCGGTAACTAGTCGGTACGTAATTGTTTATTTTACTTATATTTTTTATTTATTACTAAACTGTTATTGTTTGCTTATCGCATGCACTTTAATTCATAGGTTTAATTATCTTTCCATTTATTGATTTACATAACTGCTTTATTCATATTTGTTGATTAGTTTGGAATGAATGTCCTGATCACACTTTTTTTATTTGTTAAAATATCAATTTATATTATCTGTTTAATTGTTGTTTAATTATTCTATAACTATGAAATGAGATGGTTGTGTGTAATTGGTGGCTGATTAATGATGTGAACATGTATGTAAAAAGCTTACTGGTATCATGAAAAAATGTGTACGGATTCGGTACAGAGAACAAACCCTACCATGAACATTATCTTAGTCGAACAGGGTTAAGAAGTCCCATACCGAAAGAGGTTGGGAAGTATTTGTTCACTCTCATACTGGATAAGGTATTGAGGCGATAGTACATTTGACGTCCATTATCGGACGAGGTATGAGAACGATCGGTTAATTAATAAATTGGATATTAGGTCCACGTATAGAGAAAATTCTATGGACTCCTAAAAGTATCGGTAAGTAGGTAAAAAGGTAAAGTTTGAGTATTATTGTTTCTTAGAATGTATAATGAATTACTATCTTGATTATTGCATTCACGAGTCGAATTTTGATAACTAAAATAGTGAGTATGAAACTTACGTTTTTAAATTAAATGAATTTCCTACAAAAGAAAATGACTTCATTGGTTGTTTTATGATTTTTACTAACATTTGGTTCTCCGTAGTTGTTGTTAAATGTTGGCCTTCTTACTGAGGTAGTGTAGCACATCTTCCTTATTTAACAATTTCATATCAGAAAGATTAAGATTCGGATCTTGAACACCAAGAAAATTAGTGACTAAAGATTGCCTCTCGCATCCCACCAAAGTTGTCTTGTGAAAGTTGAGCATATATGATTTTAGTTACATTTCTATTTCTGTTATTTTAATTTATTTAAATGGACGTTTTCGTAACCCTATTGGGCATCCTAATTTACTGTACATAAGAAATGTAAATCTTAAATTTCAATTGCTTCCGTTATTATTTCATTTCATTACATTCTGGACTTTTACAATAGACATATATATCAATTCGGTATGAAGAGACTAAACAAATTGGATTATAATTTGGAAAATAATGATAAGGTATTATAGGAATATAACTAAATTGAGAGGACTAATAATAATTAATCAAATACTTACCATAATTATCATTCTGATTACATAGAGTAGTAGGGAATGAATTTCAGATATTGTGATTAGAATTATAGTGAGTATATAACTTGTCAAAAATTCAATTGTGTAATATTTTACATGACCAAATCTCTAGTGGCATGTAATAAATGGAGTTGTCACTATTCAATTTTGAGCAACTTGTCAATAATATATTCAGTATATTATAAACATATATATATATATATATAGTCAATTATGAATATGTCTCCACTTTAACTAGTACTGAATCTACCCCAATATCCAATGAGGGATGAGTAGCCAATTGGTTGCAGGCTGGCTCCATTAATAATGTCCTTCTGCATTCCAGGTCTACTT